TGCTCTCTGTATTGATGCAAGAGCTGCTAGTGTGGATGCACTCTACCGACACAAGATGCACAGTGTGGACATGCACCAGCAGTTTTAATTAAGGAGGCATAACTTTGCTGACAAAACTTTGTAGTGTAGACAAGGCCTTAGGGAACTCATGGAGGATGGGCGAGGTTCCAGAGGACTGGAAAAGGGAAAACATGGACCTATCTTTAAAAAGAGGAACAAAGAGGACCCAGGTAATTATAGACCAGCCAGCCTAACTACGATACCTGGAAGATACTGGTACAATTTATTAAACAATCAGTTTGTAAGTATCTACAGTATAATAAGGTTATGAGCAATAGCGAGCATGGATTTGTTATGCCAAACCAAACTGATTTCCTTATGTGATAGGATTACTGGCCTAGTGGATGTGGGGAAGCAGTAGATGTGATACATCTTGATTTTAGTAAGGCTTTAGATCAAGTCCCACATGACATTCTCAGAAAGAAATTAAGGAAAGTGGTCTAGATGAAATTACTCTAAGATGGGCGCACAACTGATTGAAAAACCATACTCAAAGAGTAGTTATCAATGGTTCGCTGTCAAACAAGGAGGATGTATAGAGTAGAATAGAAGAATATAAGACCATACTGGGTCAGACCAATATCCTGGCTTCCAACAGTGGCTGGTGCCAAATGCTCCAGAGGGAATGAACAGACCAGTTTATTAAGTGATCCATTTCCTGTTGTCCAGTCCCAGCTTCTGGCAGGAAGAGGTAAAGGGATACCCAGAGCATGGAGTTGTGTCCCTGACCATATTGGTAGGGCCCTACCAAATTCCCGGCCATGAAAAACATGTCCCGAACTGTGAAATCTGGTCTCCCCCACCATGAAATCTCGTCTTTTATGTGCTTTTACCCTATACAATACAGATTTCACAAGGGAGACCAGCATTTCTCACATTGGGGGTCTTGACCCAAAAGGGAGTTTTGGGAGGGTCACAAGGTTATTTTAGAGGGGTTGTGGTATTGCCACCCTTACTTCTGCACTGCCTTCAGAGCTGGGCTGCCAGAGAGTGGCAGTTGTTGGCCAGGCACCCAGCTCTGAAGGCAGCGCCCTGCCAGCAGCAGTGCAGAAGTAAAGGTGGCAATACCATACTATACCATCCTTACTCTGCATTGCTGCCTTCAGAGCTGGATGGCCAGAGAATGGTGGCTACTGATTGAGGGCCCAGCTCTGCAAGCAGCAGTGCAGAAGTAAGGGTAGCAATACCAGACCATCCCACGCTTACTTCTGCGCTGCTGCTGGCAGTGGCGCTGCCTTCAGAGCTGGGCTCCCAGCCAGCAGCCACCACTCTCCAGCTCTGAAGGCAGCGCCACCGCCAGCAGCACAGAAGTAAGAGAAGTGCCGCAACCCCTCCTACAATAACCTTGCGACCTCCTCACAACTCCTTTTTGGGTTAGGGCCCCTACAATTACAACACCGTGAAATTTCAGATTTAAATAGCTGAAATCATGAAATTTACTATTTTTAAAATCCTTTGACAGTGAAATTGACTAAAATGGACCATGAGTTTGGTATGTCCCTACATATTGGCTAATAATTATTGATGAACCTATCCTCCATGAACATATCTAATTCTTTTTTGAACCCAGTTATACTTTTGGCCTTTACAATATCCCATGGCAATGAGTTCTGCAGATTGGCTGTGCGCTTTGTGAAGAAATACTTCCTTATGCTTGTTTTAAACCTGCTGCCTATTAATTTCATTGGGTGACTCCTGGTTCTTGTGTTATGTGAAGAGGCAAATAACATTTCCTTATTCAAGTTCTCTACACCATTCATGATTGTATATACCTCTATCATATCTCTACTTAGTTGTCTCTTTCCTAAACTGAACAGTCCCAGGCTTTTAAATCTTTCCTCATATGGAAACTGTTCCAGCTCCCTACTCATTTTTGGTGCCCTTCTCTGTACTTTTTCCAATTCTATCTTTTTGAGAGGGGGAAGACCAGAACTGCATGCAGTATTCAAGGTGTGGGAGTACCATGGATTTACATAGTGACATTATGATATTTTCTGTCTTATTATCTATCCCTTTCATAATAGTTCCTAAATTGTTCACTTTTTTGACTGATGCTGTACACTGAACAGACGTATTCAGAGAATTATCCACAATGACTCAAACATCTCTTTCTTTCATGGTAACAGCTAATTTAAACTCCATCATTTTGTATGTATAGTTGGGATTATGTTTTCCAATGTGCACTATTTTGCATTAATCAACAATGAATTTCATCTGCCATTTTGTTGCCCAGTCACCCAGTTTAATGAGATCTCTTTGTAACTCTTCACAGTCAGCTTTGGACTTAACTAGCTTGAGTAATTTTATGTCATATGCAAACTTAGCCACTGTTTATTCTTTTCTAGATCATTTATGAATATATTGAACATCATTGGTCCCAGTACAGATCCTTGAGGAACCCCCCTATTTACCTCTCTCCACTGTGAAAACTGATCATTTATTCCTACCCTTTGTTTCCCATCTTTTAACTGGTTACTGATCCATGAGAGGACCTTCTCTCTTTTTCCATGATTGCTTATTTTACTTAAGAGCCTTTGGTGAGGGACATTATCAAAGGCTTTCTGGAAGTCCAAGTACACTATGTCCAGTGGATCACTCTTGTCCACATGTTTGTTGACCCTCTCAAAGATTTCTAAGAGATTTATGAGGCATGATTGCCTATTACAAAAGCCATGTAGACTCTTCCCCAACATACCGTGTTCATCTATGTGTGTGATAATTCTGTTCTTTATTATAGTTTCAACCAATTTCCTGGTACTGAAATTAGGTTTAGTGGTCTATAATTACCAGTATCGCCTCTGGAGCCTTTTTAAAAAATCAGCATTACATTTGCTGTCCACCAGGCATCTGGAATGAAGGGTGATTTCAGCGATAGGTTGCATACCACAATTAGTAGTTCTGCAATTTCATATTTGAGTTCCTTCACAACTCTGGGGTGAATTCCATCTGGTCCTGGTGACTTATTACTGTTTAATTTATCAATTTGCTTGAAAACCTCCTCTACTGACACCTCAATCTGGGACAGTTAATTATATTTGTCATCTAAAAGAATGGCTCAGGTGTGGAAATCTCCTTCACGTTGTCTGCAGTAAAGACCAATTTAAAGAATTCATTTAGCTTCTCTGCAAAGGCCTTGTCTTCTTTAAGTGCTCCTTTAGCACAATGATCATCCAGTGGCCCCACTGATTGTTTGGCAGCCTTCCTGCTTAATTATACTTTTACACTTGAGTTGCCAGAGTTTATGTTCCTTTCTATTTTCCTCAGTAGGATTTGACTTTGAATTTTTAAAAGATGACTTTTGTCTTCAACTGTCTCTTTTACTCTGATTAGCCATGCTGGCATTTTTTGGGTCCTCTTACTGTTTTTTTTTATTTGGGGTATACCTATAGTTTGAACTACTATTATGTGTTTTTTAAAAGTTTCTGTGCAGCTTGCAGGCATTTCACTCTTGTGACTGTTCCTTTAATGACTTGGATAATAGAGAAGAGAGGATACTTATACAATTAGCATATGATATTAAGCTGGGTGAGTTTGCAAGCACTTTGGAGGACAGGATTAGAATGCAAAATGATCTTGACAAATTGGAAAATTGGTCTTAAATCAACAACATAAAATTCAATAAAAACAAGGCAACAGTGTGTGCTTAAGAAGGAAAAATCAAATGCACAAGTATAAGATGGGGATTAACTAGTTAGGTGGCAGAACTGCTGAAAACATTCTGGGGGTTATAGAGGACCACAAATTGAATACGAGTCAACAATGTGATGCAGCTGCAAAAAAGGCTAATATCATTTTGGGGTTTATTAACAGGAGTGTTGTATGTAAGGGCTGGTTCACACTAACCGCCCACTTCGAACTAAGATACGCAACTTCAGCTACGTGAATAACGTAGCTGAAGTCGAAGTACCTTAGTTCGAACTTACCGCGGGTCCAGACGCGGCAGGCAGGCTCCCCCGTCGACTGCGCGTACTCCTCTCGCAGAGCAGGAGTACCGGCATCAACGCCGAGCACTTCCGGGATCGATCCGGGATCGATTTATCGCATCTAGACAAGACGTGATAAATCGATCCCAGAAGATCGATTGCTTACCGCTGGACCCGGAGGTAAGTATAGACGTACCCTTAGACACAGGAGGTAACTGTCTTACTCCACTCGGCCCTGGTAAGGCCTCAGCTGGAGTCCTGTGTCCAATTCTGGTCACGGTACTTTAGGATAGATGTGGATAAACTGGATAAAGTGTAACAACCTAATAAATCTATAACAACTTTCACAGTGTTCAGGGAATGGAAAGCTACTATAAATTGTTTTTATTTGTTCATTCTTATTTTATTGTTATACTAGCTGGATGCTCTTTAAATGTCTGAGTTGTTTTGGAGGGGGTAGGTTATAATTTTGAATAGCAAATTAACCGATAAATTTGATCCTTTCTGAAAGGATCCCTGGTGAGCAGCACAAATTAGGATTTGCATCATCTGCAGTATTCCAGTGGACTAGGAGGAACTGCCTATGTATTAAATTTAGATGGCAAAGTAGGGTTTGAGTTTGACTATAAAACTTTAGCCAGATCCAGCCACAATATTACACATCTTGGAGTTTTCTTGCAAGAGGATGCACTGATGTCATTTTATTTTTTGGTGGCAACGAGAGCTGTCTATTTTAATGGCATGGTTTCTGGGTTTGCGGCCAAAGTTTCACAAGTGCTGTTGCGCTTCAAGGAGCGGGGGTGTCGGGATGTAACTTGTTGAAAGGCAGCTAAACTGATTTCCTATTTCTCGGGTCCCCACACTGGAAAGCTCGGCCAGGATCCAGGGGCTGGATCTGGGCTTTGTTGGTAGAGCCGCGCTCAGTGGCCAGCCTCGCTACCTGCGGGCGGCTCCAGCGCGGCGCTGGGACACGGCTACAGGATTCAGCCCGCACCTTTCCGGGGCGGCCAGGGCGGGTGCTAAGAGAGAGGCGGGCGGGGCAGAACGAGCCTCGTGGCTGCCGCCTGATTGGCTGAAGAGCCCGGCCCCAGGTTATAAGAGCCGCCGGCCGCGGGCGCCGGGCGCTGCCTAGCCTGGGAGCCTGCCCGCGCTGCCCGGAGATTGCCGAAGCGCCATGCGGCGCGCCAGCCGAGACTACACCAAGTACCAGCGCGGCTCCGAGGAGCTGGGCGGCAGCGCCCCCCAAGAGGGCTCGCAGCAGCAGCCGCAGTCGGTGCCGCCGCCTCATCCGCACCCGCCGCCGCCTCTAGCCTCCGCCAGGGCCCTGCTGGTCCCGCTGGTGCTGCTCGGGCTGGGGCAGGTGGTCTGCAGCGTCGCGTTGTTCTTCTGCTTCAGAGCCCAGGTAGTGTCGCGGCGCCTGAGCAGCCCTGGGGTACAGAAGGCGGGAGGGGAGGACGTGGGTGCCGGGTGCCTCTCGGGCTGGGCAGAGGCGGAGGTCAGGTGCACAGACCCCAGTGTCTGCAGAGTAACCCAGGGGCGCGTGCACTCGAGCGCCCGGGGGATCTGCTCACTGCAGGGGTTGGGTTACGAGACACGGGCTGCTTCTTTACATCTCTTGCTTACTCTCTCCATCAAGTGCTCTTGATCTGAGAGGCGGGGCAGGAGGGTTGGAAGAAGGTGGGCTCCAGTCAAGGGAGTCGTGTCCTGCGGGTGAGCTGGGCAAACTGAGTTTATTCACCTCTCACTTGAGGGAAAACGGAGTCTAGTTCAGGACAAGTTAGTTTTACCCACTTCTGTTTCTTACCACTGCCCTGCTGATTAAAGGGGGCCATCTGCCATTCTTGGTCCATGTATGCTACACCCGGATGCGTAGTTTTGCCCAGGGGTGGGAAAGTTTAGAAATAGGCATCATAATATGATGATGACTGTTTCCAGGACATCCAAAAACATACAGGTAAATGAGAATTCAGAAAATAAAGAGCATAATTTGAACAAATCTAAACTAGGTTTGTATGTATGTATGACCCTAACAAATAGTAGTTTTCCTGTTGCACAGAACAAATAGGGCCCCTAGGCTGAAGTCTGCATTTTATTTAAGTTATCATTGGCTCCCTTTTGGAGAATAAGTACTTGCAAACTACTACAAGAATTGTCCCAGGATTGTCTTTAGAGACAACCTTCCTTGTGAATTTGATGCTGCTGCTCTTCACTGTGGAACTTGGTGTGTAATGGCTGGTAAAGGGAAAAGATACCTTCTGTAACTTGTTAGCTTATTTCCCAGGAGAGGAGAATTAGACTGCCCTACTAGGCCACAAAAATATGGCAAAGTAATGTTTTCAATTGGGCAATGCTATGCACATTAGATCTGAGCTGCACAGAGATAGAATGGGAGGGGTCAGGCTACAGTGTTATGCTTTCTAGTGGTTTAAGCTGTTAGAGATTATTTTTTGTTCTTGGAAATTACACTGCATTGGTTGGATTCGCTTACGTATTTTTTTTGCCTGGTACTGCAAACTTTCTCAAAGGAAGTGGGGGGCTGACGCTTGCTCTTTCTCAGGGGTAAAACAAAAGACGGGGCTCTTTCAAGTTTGCAAAAAAAGATATTACTAGTTCAGAATAGGTGAACTAAAGATGCTGTAGAATCTGATATAAATTTTACTGTCCAAAAACTGGAGATCTGAGTTTTAATTAGGGTGTTACGAAGTTTTTATATGCATAGTACAAACACTAGTCTGTCTTCATAGAAATGGTGCTTTTCTTTTCATTTGAAGTCAGTGAAGAAGTGGAAATCTATTTTTCTTTCAGGTCCTACTTTAGGTAGACAGAATTGTTCTTGGGCCCCAGGACAGACTGGATACATTAACAACAAAATATACTCTAAATCTAGACCACATACAGATTGGATGCAGTACAAATGCATGCACATTTAAATAAGTGATTGAAATAAAACAAGTGACAGTTCCAAATTTATTATAATATTGTTTATATTTGTTACTCGCACCTACTAATTCATTCCTTTCTATTTTCAATTATTGCCAAATGCTTTGTGTTTATTAGTTACCTTTAAAAGATATGTATGACCTGTTCCAAGCTTATATTGACTATACCTTAGCAGAGTGACAGTTCATTTATGGTACTTATTGTAAAGTAGGTTAGAATTACCTGTTTTTTTGCCAGCGAAATAGACTAATGTATTTAGACTAAGTAACTCAGCTTGTAGGGTGAAAAAGTATTCTCTCCATTACAAACCCATTGAAACATCTCCATTAAGACATCTTAACTTATAGAAAACACCCAATAGTATGTTAATTAGTATGCTATGAAGTCATTGCAACTAAACTTACTTGTCAAAATAAACAAAATACATTTAGTCATATAGAATCCTTGACTTTTTTTTGCCTCTTTTTGAAGTAAACAATGTGAAGTCTGTGAGGTTATACAGGTGTAACAAAGGGCAGAATTCTTCCCATGGCATATACATTATTGTTTAGTCTGCATAATGTAAAAACAGCAATATAAATATAATTCTACACTTAGAACCTGATCCTCTAACTGATCTGAAACTCCTATTGACTTATAAATAAAGGATTGAGTCCTTTATTTGTAAATCTGAACTAGTTCCAAAATATCTGAATGACCCAACTTGATACTAGATTTGCACAAAGTATTTCTCTACAATTTGTAGACACAATGAGACTTCAGTATTTTTTAATGTCATCTCTCTCTCTGTACGGAGAAATAGAATAGTTCACATAAAATACAAGAGAACATCATTAATTCACACTATTGAATGGTAACCTATTCCAGATTTTCAGAAATTTTGATATAGTCAGAAAGGGAAACAAACAGAAATTATGCTGCCTGACAAAATGCACTTAATCATGCAGAGCCTGATTCAACTCCATGAGATCAATGAAAAGACTTCCATTGACTTCACTGTGAATTGGAGCATGACTTTTGACAAGTATAGCTTAAACTATTTATGATGCTGATGTACTTCATAGTATAATTACGCACCTTTTAGTATATTTTGATAAGGTAATGACAGGGTAGCAGTAGGAGTCTTCAGAGCACTCTTCTCAAAGATGCTGAGCTACTCAGCTGGTAGTGGTGTGTGGATTAACCAAGTGTGAATTAGAAAGGCTTTACTGAACATTTGGAAAAATATACCTTTTAACACAAGACCATTTCACAAGCTTTTTTCATATACCAAGTTTTTCAGATTTCTGTTACTATTCTGTGAGTAAGCCAACCAACTAGTGGATAAATGAGAACTGGCTTGTGTAATTTATTTGAATTTTCAAAAAGCCTTTTTGAAAGTGCCACAGAAGAGGCTGTTAGGGAAAGCAAGTAGTGATAAAGTGAGAGGCGAAGTTCTTTGATAAATTGGAAGCTGGCTAAAAGGCAGAACATCAGCAGGAATAAATGGTCAGTTTTCAATGTGAGAAAAGGTTAATGAAGGAACAGCAAATTGAGAAAGAAAAGATGATACTTAATATGGCCATCTTTAATACTATCATATATCGATCAAGGAGACAATCTTTTCTATAACGAATTATAGAAGGGGAAGATGTTTAATAAACAAAGCTGATTGAAATATTTTATTTAAAACCTTTTTTCAATGAAACTGACATCTTTGGAAATAAAAAATGTTTTTTTGAAAGTGTTTGGATTTTTTCAATTATAGAACTAAAACTTTTTCCAATTTTCATGGAAAATGTTTTGGGTTTTGTTTCTTCCCCCTTCTCTCCCTTTCCCCTCTTTTCCTTTTGGCCACTAGAAGAGGGGAGAGAAGGAGTCCAAAATGAAGCTTTCATTTTTTTCCAGAAAACTTGAAATTTTTAATGAAACAAACTTAACCATTTTTTACCAGCTCTATAAATAAATGTATTCCTTTGGACTCTGTGGGGGTGGGGGAGATTCAGAAGGGTGACAGACTTTACCAATGAGATAATATGTAGGTTAATCAAAACTGGAAAAGACTGAGACACTTCAGAGGGGCATAATATACTAGAATGATGGGCCACATGTTGGCAGGTGAAGTTTAGTCTTGACAAATGCATGGTAATGTATATCAGAAGAAAAAGTATGAACTATTCATACATGTTTGTAGATTCTACATTGTGTAACCGCTCACAAAAAGTGACAATTTGATACTGTGGAGAGCTTAATAAAAACCTCAACTCATAGTGCAGTGATAGTGTAAAAAAAAAGGGGGGGGGGCAAGCTAACTGTTAATATGTAACAGATAGGATAGAAAATAATACAGAAAATATTGTAATGGCGTTCTTTTGACCTGAATATCAACAAACTTCTTGGAAACTATTTTGATATTTGATTTTGATTGTATGTGTGTGATTAATTCCCAATGCCTTTCCTAAAAAAAGTCTTGCCTGCAGCTTTCTCTCTCTTTCTCTCCCCCGTCCCACAACTGTGTGTAATGTCTATTTGATGCTATGGGAATTTGGTGACTAACTTTTATAATGTTCCTCTGATTAATATTGTGGATTCCTATAAACTTCTGTTTACAATTTTACTCAGGCAAGCTAATTTTCAAAAACAATAAAAACAGTATGGGAATGGCAGTGGGTGGGTGAGTATCCCTTGAAAGACTGCAGCAATCAACTAGGTTAACTGACCACCACAAATCAAATGTTCTCCCTGAAGCCCTATAGTTTTCTAACTTCACCAGAATTATTTAAACTAATCCTGCACATCTTTTCAGAGCCATCAGTAATCACATAAATTTCGCAGTATATCCCCATCAACCTTTCTAACTATATTCATAAAGATGTTCTCCAGGGTATTGTCCAATAGCATTTAGTAAATGAGGTACTAAATTAGAGCTAATCCAGATAAATACTGTAATACAATCCACTGTTGATCTTGTTCAAGCAACATTCCCTTTGATGCACATGATTTATTGCCTATTGATGATGTCTTTGAAGCTATGCTGCAGATGAACTTGACTTGCTGTATACCAGATCTGGCCCCTACAAAGTTTGATCTTCTGTTTGTGTTACAACACCCATGTCAGCTTTTTTTTCAGAAGCTTTTATTTTGATTACATTAAAAACTGCAGTAGTAACCTCTTGGCAGTAGTGGTTGCCACTGAAAAGTAAATATATACTTGAAGTTACTATATTGTAGATAAGAATTTCAAGGGGGGGCTACATGAGTTAGAAACCCAACTCCTAGTGAATAGCCCTAATCCCTCAGGTTCCTTTGATAATTCCAGCCTACATTTATTATTCACTGCAGTTTGGCATCTATTAGTAAATACTAATTTGTTTTAAATGGTGATCACTGTGTTCTAAAATTCACTCTTGATCAGAAGTTTTGTTTTTTTATTTTAGGCTAGCTTGAATCTTTTTCATTCTCATGTTTTAGAATGCATATAAAGGAATTCATTTGGGGTTTTTTTGGCTAGCAATTCTGTATCAGCTAACCTTACCTCTGGTATTCCATTAAGTTCAATACTTTCTTTAACATGCTTTCCATTGATCACACATTACATTTGCATGGCCCTGTGTTCTGTCGTCTTGAGTACAAATGAGACATATTTATTTTTGCTTGGGCTCCTGAGAGAAGGCTGCTTTATTTTCTTTTCTTCAGTATGTGAAATAAATGGTTTTATGATTCAACTCTGACACACAGTGCTTACAATATTTTAAATTCCAGTCACTCTTTAAAATAATGTAGAAAAAGAGCTGCTTCAAATTGGATGGCAATAGATTCTAAGCCTGTGCTTCTAAATCTTAACATATTTGATTCAATCACAGAAGTTAGAGCCTACTTTTTAAATCTTCAGTCCATCCCTCTGCTAATGAAGGAGTATTCTCCATGGTACATTTTATAGTGGGTTTTCTAGCTGAGTTTGAAAGTTCCAAGTATTTGGCTTCTACCACATCCCTCAGGTGGCTGTTCCACAGACCAGTATGTCTGGCTATTGAGATGTTTTCCCTGATATTTGGCCTAAGTTTTCTCTTTGTTCATTTCATTGCATTTCTAGTTGTTATAACCTCCTTGTACCGTGTTCAGTAATTCCTCTCCCTTCATGAGGTTTTCACCCTTCAAGTATTTGTAGGCTATTACGTTTTCTCCACACACTTGGTTATCACCTAGCCATGCTTATATGTATTTAACATCTTTCCTTATAAATGCCTCAAAGCTACTGATAATTTTTGCAGTGCTGTCCTGAACTGCTTCAGTTTGTCAATAAATATCATGTAGTGTGGTGTCCAGAGTTGAAGGCAGTTTTTCCTTGTCACAGACCAAGCAGAGAGAAAATTGACTTTACCACTACAGAACGTTGTTCATCTTTTAAAGCTGTTTGACATAGACACTGATCCATGTACTGGAGTCTTCTAAGCTTGATTAATCCATTTTTTATGTAATTACCCAGTGGTTACAGTTGGCGTGAGATCATTCTTCATGTGATCAGGTTCCAAATTTACTGATCATTTGTTTGATTCATTCCAAACTTATTAATTTTCATGATCTCTGTTCCATTTGCTGCACAGGCAAAATATAGAGTCCCTTTTAAGATTTAATGGAAATACTTTGTCCTGTTATCCCATGTCCTACAGCTATATATCCTTAGGAAATTTGGGGAAAAAGATGAGTAAGTTAAAATAACTCTAAGTCCAGCACTTAATCAGTAAAGCATAATGCATATTAAAAGAAACTCTTTTTTTCATGCTCCTACTATATCTGAAAGTCCTTATGAGTTTATCTGGTATGATTTTACTTTAATATAAGACATCTATGTTTTTGCTTACCATTTACTTATTTTGCGTGAATAGAAGTTTTGTGTGTTGAGAATATATTTTATAGCAGTAAGAGGTAAGATTAGTATGTCATTGCATTGAGTGGCTTACAAGTGTACCTTTTGGTTATACAGAGTTAAGGACTATTGGACAAACTTAGATTATGGATGTTCTTAAATCTATTTCAGATGGACCCTAACAGAATTACAAAAGAAGACACTCGCTGTTTCACAGCACTTTTAAGACTTCAAGAAAGCACAGATTTGCAAGAGACAACACTGGAAAATCAGGAAGCAAAATTAATCTCCGAATCATGCTGGAGAATAAAACAGGCTTTGCAAGGAGTTATGCAGACGGTGAGTGCACCCTGAGAATTAAACTAATATTTAAACTTACGTGAGCTTCTGAAAACCTAGAGAGAGAGAGAAGTTTTTAGGGGGGAAAAAACCTGTTTCCTATTACTTCACATAGAACTAGTGGTTGCACTGTAATCTTTAACATCTTTGGTATTTTGTTGCATTTGTTCATGAACCCCTTGGTAGTGGTTCACCATGTCTGTATGCAGACTAATGGTGCTTTGACTAGCATTTTTCTCTTTTTATTTATTTTGTTTAAAGAGGAGAAAGTTTGGATTCACACTAGGAGGAAAAACAATGTTTGTGGTTAGTTGATTGGCCAATTTGTCACTCAGGCTAGTCCAAATGGTAGTAATTTATCCCAGTATTTGTATGGACTTATCAGCATTTTGGTTTTGAGAGAGTTAGAGTATCTTTTTTTTTTTCCCCCCTCCAATCTTCCTGATTGTGTCTCTGGTGAGTCGGATGGGACATCATTCTTTTGCCAAACAAGATTCCCAAGCAGAGGGAAGGTGGTGGGCAAGCAAAATACATCTCTCCTTTTTTCCCCCCTTTGCCCTCCGTGCATGGAGTGGGATTCCAGGAGTGACACTCCCCCATGTGTGAGAGAGAACTGCTCCTGTTCTTTGCAGAGAGAACTGTCTCCCACATACCAGTTTTCTCTGTTGTGTGGGGACCGTTCCTCCTGAGGGAGAATGAGAACTCTGGAGGCCCAGTGAGGGAGCTGACACCACTGAGCAGAATGCAGGATAATCTTACAGCAGTGGGATAGTAGGATAATGAGGACCAACACAAGATAGTTTGAAATAATTCAAGATACATAGCAGTCCTCTTACTTTACGGTAGCTGAGAATATGGTTATGTCTACCCTACGTACCTTTTAGTGACACAGCTGTGCCGCTACGTTTGGGGGTGCGTTTTTTTCACACCTCAACAGCAAAAGTTTTGTTCAGTTTCCAGTGTAGACAAAGCCTATGTATCTGGTAGAAAGGGGCTAAAACTAGACAACACACCTTTTAATATAATTTTACAACAGTTGCATTGTACACATGGAGTTGCACACATACCCATTAGCAGATCCTGTGTTAATGAGTCTGAACAATGTAATAAGGAAGTCTTGATTAGCATGATAACTAGGTAGCTCCTGCTTGGCATTTCAGAGTTACAGCTTACTCCCAAACACTAAGGGCACATCTTCACTGCCACGTCAGCACTTTAATGTGATTTGTGTAGTCGCGACACAGCGCTGGGAGAGAGCTCTCCCAGTGCTCTAAAAAAACCCACCTCCACGAGGGGCGTAGCTACCAGTGCTGGGAGCATGGATCCCGGAGCTGGTGCACTGTCTACACTGGCACTTTACAGTGCTGAAACTTGCAGTGCTCAGGCGGGTGTTGTTGTTTTTTTCCACACTCCTGAGGGAGAAAGTTGCAGCACTGTAAAGTGCTAGGGTGGACAAGCCCGAACAGGGAAATTAGTCAGATAAAGTCATTAGCCATAATGGGGATGTGGGGGGGGGGGAGGGGAAACTGGACAAATTTGGTGTACCTGTCACAATCACCCAGGTTCCTAAGGGCAATTTATGCTTTTGATCTCCTAGCACATTCATATGAGTATTTTGTGCTATTTCAACCTAATTGCCATCTAATAAAGAATTATTACATTGCTGAGAGTGCTAAATCCTTGACTTTTTTGTTTTATAATAGTCTCATGTGTCAGAATCCCTTGGTCCATTACTACTTTGCTGCCTTCATCTGTACCATGGATTATACCATAGGTTACATGAATGGTACAGACTATTTTTGTCTGAGGATAATTATAGTAACTCCCTCAGTTATATGAACTCCTGTACATTCCTAAGATTTCAGATATTTTGCCCCTTTCTTCCGTCCAGCCTGTCTCCTTCAAAGACTGTCAGGAAAATTTGGACTCAGCTGTTGGGGTTCTCCTAATATTTGCTGAAATCATCCACCATATACTTTAGAGGGGAGAAAAAGGAGTTAATGGCAAGTGTGCATATTTGCATTCTGTGTGCAGTACTCTTCCAGGGAGCTCTGTGGATGGAGTGTGTAGTTTCAGTAAGTGAATGGGAAGCACTATCTGCTGGTCATCCACTGCTGGTTAATCAACAAAGGCGTTGGCTTTAGTGGAAGCTGCATGTCCTGTCATCCTGACTGATGTTTATTTTGGTTGATGGCTATTCGTTTAAGAGAAGAGTAAAATTTCTCTCACCAAAATAATCCGATTTTGAATTTATTTGAACGCAGTAAAAGAGAATGTGTATATATGAGACACTGGGTAACCAGATCTGCATCCTAGTTCATTTGGCCCTATGTGTTGACACTGAGGGAGGCAAGTCCAAAATAAGAAAAATAAATGCTAACTTAGCCTCACGTGCATCTCTTCAGCTGAATGAGCCTATATCCCAGCTGTTAAAGGGCCAATGTCAAGGTAAAAATCATGGGTCGGATTCTGTGGCTTGCACCATCTCGATCTTCACTGCTCCAACAATGCAAAGTGGCTGGAAATTGGCTGGATCTCTTTGTTCTAGCCCCTGGTGTAAGGGGCATACCGGGAACATGGGAAAGCGTTGCTTTCCTATCAGAATATTACCACATGTATGTTTTTAAAATATACACTTCTTTATTTGCAATACTAATTATACAATAAGTTACTGAAATGCAACACTTTAAAATCTAATTAACTTCTTGTCGTTTATGATTTTTTACTTTTTGCACTTCACTCAGTTTGTCCAATGAAAATAGACTAATCAGTTTCATGTTCTATGTAGCAGGCTGCATTTTCTAGTTTTTTGTGCACTGGTACGTATCTGCATATGTTCCTTGCATATGTATAGATTAGTCTTTACATCCACAACAGGGACTAATCTGGAAGTATTTTAGTGCTCCCACTAAAGTCATTAGGTGTTCCATTGCAGGATGGGGCCCAAAACATTTCCCCCCTTTAAAAAAAGCAAAAACAAAAAAAACCTCATTAAAACATTTTCTAACTAAATCTAATATTTATGCCGATATTATTTGACACGTTTTTGGGTGATGGAAATGTTGCTTAGAGAGCAGCATGTTCAAGGGCAGCACATTTAAACTATTATTGTTTTACAAGTATCAATAATGTATTACGGGGTTGTTCGTCCTTAGTGTGGTGTTTCCTCATCACAGTCCAGATTCTGATCTCCAGTACCTGTGCACATCTGGAGTAACTTTGTCGTCATCAGTGGAGTTACTTTAGATTTACACTGATGTAGCTGAGATCAGAACATGGTCTCCGCTTTAGGTAGACAAGTAATATACCGTAATTTTCTTGTTTGTGGTTGCATGGCTTGGCTTGGCTGCTTTTTTTCTTTCATGTAACCCTAAAAGCCCTTTGGCAGTCCAAACACAGTGACCACACTTTTAAAAAAGACTACCATAAGTCTGGCAGTAAAGAGAGAACGACAAACACATAGCTGGGGTCAATCTATGAAGTAACATATTTTTGGCAGTGCTCCTGGACCCTGGCAGCTTCAGGCCTAAACTAGTCTCCCGCATGGCAACAAAACACTTCACTGCTTTAGACCTCCAGGATGGCCCTTATAAAGACTTCTATGTGCTTAACAAACATTCTAAGCACATGTGGTTATTAACAAAGTGCTTCAGAGGCAAGGTTTCAGAGTTACAAGTTGTCCAATATTTGTGATCGTGATCCTGCAACCTCTTCTGTAACAGATACTGGGAATACTGATATTAAGAGTTACAGGATTGGTGTCTTTAATGTAGCTTCTGGAGAATTCTTCAAACCGCTGAATTTCCTGCAAGATGATCAGAATCTCTTCCTGGTATCAATTAGTTTTAAATGAGCAGAGGTAGTAGCATTAAAGATAGCACCATAAGGGATTACTGTAATATAGCTGAATGTCAAAAGGGTCCACTTAGGTTTCAAAAGCCTGGAGGCTTTTTCAAACATATTTACATCCCTTTGTTCGAGACTGCGGGAAGGGAAATTGCACAAAGCCTAAGAGAATAAAATTATACTAAGCTCTAGAATTAATAAATTAATTTAAAATAGCTTTTCTAAAAATAGTAATATTAGATACAAATAGTACAATTTCATAAGTACAATTAGACTTAGGCTCCTATGTCAGTTAGGTGCTTTTGAAAGTTTTACTTGTAATTTTAGGTCTGATACCTAGCTACCTATCGGAAGTAAAGTGTTGCATCCCTTTGGTAAGTAGAATTCCCAACTCTCCAGGAATATAAAACACCCTACCCCTTAATGGCTTGTGAAATGTTAGACTCGCAAACTGGATGTAAACCCCTTAAAACAGCCTGCTTTTATAAAAGCTAAAATTGCTGTTCTGCTGTGATGTTTTTCTGCTGGGTTGTGTGAAAACCCAAGGGGACCTTTACTGAAATAGACGTTCTGTTTAATAAATAAAATAAAGTGTAAAAAAAATTCATAATATACCAGGATAGTCTCAGCAACGGCTTTTTTCTGTTTTATGAAAATAAGACCTTTGTAAATGCATCACATGTTAAAAAAATTCACTAAACTGCAGATTCATTTGGTTTTTAAATGCTTGCCTGGTTAGCACTGAAGATTTTGGGGGAATTTAATACTTGTTGTAGAGCAGTCTGAGTTGAATTTCTGGCCTATCATTGTGGTGGTTACTACATGATTATAGTAAGCCCAGTCCTACAAACATGCACATGTTTAATTTTACTACTGTGAGTAGGCCCATTGAAAATGTAGACGTGGGTCAGCGTTTGAAGGATCAGGGCCTTAGAAAGTTTGTTTGAATAGGTGACTGTGACTGCCTGCAAAAATCAAAATATGGTGCATTGTAGTTTTAAAAAGAAATTATAATAAACTCTTAAGATTTAGAACATTGCTTATATCCGGGTTTAAGTATACAGAGTAAGACTGAAGTATGTGACTATGACCTGAAAATTAACCTATAACTGGGAGTAATTTGGGGTGTTAGCTGTGTTCTATTCCTGCTTTGTGCAAATCCTAATTGTACTCAGTTTTCTGTAAATGTTAGTGAGGTAGAATCATAAAGTGAATACATCTGTGACAGGGTACATCAGTGATACTCAGATCTCAGTGGTTCTGGAACCAAATTAGAGATCAATGTTACCCAAATGACCCACAATTGTGTGAATTCATTGTTTCATTTACTGTAGTACTATATAGTCATATTTAAACAGTATGATGGGAAATATTTCTTTTAATTTTTATTATCCATATCAGGGGTTGGCAACCTCTGGCACGCGGCTCGCCAGGGTAAGCACCCTGGCAGGCCGGGCCAGTTTGTTTACCTGCCACGTTGGCAGGTTCGGCCGATTGTGGCTCCCACTGGCCGCGGTTCACCATCCCAGGCCAATGGGGGTGGCAGGAAGCCATGGCCAGCACATCCCTCACCTGCGAGCTGCGTGCCAGAGGTTGCCGACCCCTGATCGAGCTCTCTCTTTTATTTTTATATATATATTATAAGAGAATCTCGCCGCAAAATGACTGATCAAGTATTTTATTAACTACAATTGGTTAATATAGTAGAAGCATACTGATAGGTTGTTAACTTAGATTGGTTAATTATTAAATCACAGTGTTTTAATACCATGTGCTGCAAACATTTGCAGGAGACACATTTAAGAGCCACTTGCGGCTCATGAACCACACTGAATATCACTTGCGTAGATGATCCCTGACTGGCATTGTGCCAAAAAGGGATTAGTCTCCTGTGTCAGATACCCCTGAAACCACTGCTGGGATTGTAGAAGAGTGCAACTTCATGAGTGCTTTACTATAGTTCGCTGTACAATGAAAGCAATTAGTCTTTGTGTGGTCTCTCAAGAAGGATGTAATTTGCAGTAAATATACTTCCTAATCAACTGGACAGTTAACTAATCCCTTCAAACAAATCTAGGACTAAATAATCATGTCCCCAAATTACACAGAATGGGAAAATTACCAAGCAAATACTTCTATGGCTCTGAAGCAACACAATAAAGAAGGGATTATCCCCTCTAGGGAATGAGGATGGGGGCTGGCCGGGGGATGGGTGGGTCGGGGCTGGAACCAAAGGGTACTAATCTCATGGATGCTCTGAAATAAAGGGCGTCCTTGCAGGGGGCCTGTCCATCATTATGCTCTCTAGATCTTCCCCCTCATGGTGGCATGTCCTCTTCAGGGACCTTGTAGCTATTGGCACAAAGGAATATTTAGTGCCCACTGTTGTTGCTCTTACCCCTTCAAGAGAGGTAACAAGGTCTCTGTGGGTGGATAAAAGGTTGGCGCTGTAGTTCATATTGGCACAGTAGATCTTTGCTTGAGTCCAGTCTTCTGTGTGACTAAACCGCAGCTTGTGCTGACCTATGTATTCTAATAACTGGCATGAAAGCAGAAGAACCAGTGAGGGGAAGGGGGCTGAATTGCAATTTTCCCACCAACATTGGGGAGGGAACACTTTGCAACTTCAACAAAAATAAAATTCATCTGCTTCTTTGCTCAGCTGTACAGCAGAAAGTATCTTATCTATAAACTCATCAGCATTTCAGCAGAGCTACTTTACTTTGATAGTCATACTATGACTTTCATGCTGCTGTGGCTTTCCATTTTGGTTTAGCATATAGACGCCTACTGAACTATGCTTACTTTCCCCTTTCAGCAGATATCTACACACACAGAGCACCTTCATTTAATTGTGGTTACAAAGTTACATAAAAGCAACATTTCCTTGATATTTAGAATTGGTGTTACATATCAAACTCCACAAGATGGCAGTAATTCAGAATACAATAGATTATTGCAAATTTAGATGAATATCTAGGAGATCTGTTGCAAATAATATTGAGAATTGGCAAGAGAACAAACAGTAAAAGAAATAATAATGCATTACAAAATGCACTTGGTTCATTTATTTTGATAGTCCCTGTCCCAAAGAATTTAGACTAAAGGATAAACCTACAGAAAACAGGGACACGTTGAAAAATCTGAGATAAGGGATTGATTATGATGTCTGCATCATAAAACCTCTGATTATTATTTATTTGTATTATCATACTATCTGGAGGTCAGCTAAGGTTGGAGTTCCTTTGGGCTAGGCACTGTACAAAACCAGTATGACAATCTCTGCCCCAAAGAGTATGCCATATAATTACACAAGACATGCGGTAGGAGAAGGAAAGTTTTACCCCCATTTTAGATGGGGATCTGAGACACTGAGAGTGACTTGCCCAAGTTTGCGAAGTCTGGGGCAGAGCTGGGAACTGTACCTGGAACTCCTGAGTCCCAGTTTTGTGGCTTACCCACAAAACACTGCTTCCACTCATTAAAATTACAATTTCAGTATCTACTTGCAAAAAAGATCCGGACGGAAGTAGATCAGGACTGGAATGTTGGGGAGTGACTGTTCAGGAGCAGAGGTGCATATGTGACAGCTTAAATATCTCTTGGTTTTGCTATGCCTGGCTCTACCAATATATAGCTTCTTTTCATTAACATTGAAATTCACTTAGTTTTAATTAACACTTGTCCAGGCTGTGCTTGGGCCTTGTATGAATGTGCAAGGTGCCTTACCCATCTCATTCTTGCATACTCTACAAAGGGCCAGGCACACTTGCAATCCCTTCACTCATTTGTGTGCAGGGACAGCTGCCTGCTGATGTCTAGGGCACAAGCCCCATCCCAAAGGAAGAAGCATCATTGTCCTTCTGCAACAGCCCCCATAAATGGCTGGTTGTGAAGGAGAGAACTCTCTGCAGCCTCCTAAGCACCCATAAAGGGTGATGCAGTCAACATGCTCGGCCTCCCTGAATTCTTGTGAATGTGACTGCATGCTGCCCCTGTATGGCACAGTCTGGCCCCAGGTATCTAAATTACTCCATATTGCACAATGTTCAGTGTGACAAATATTTACTTTGCTCAATACTATGTTGTTCTGACCATTTACACTTAAAGAAATGCATTTACCTTAAGCACAGTGACATCAAAAGTTTGTAGCCATCCTTTCAGCATGATCTTCACTTTTCAGATAGTACCCCTGATAATTGTATAGTCGAAGATATTGTGAAGTAATTATAAACACCATCATTCCTGTTTTCCTTTTTTGGAAATATTGGACATAGTGCCCCCATTCTAGAAAGGAGCTGATTCTTGTAAGTTGACCCTTGTGGTCACGTTTTACATCCTGGAAGGTTGAAAACATATATTCCAGACACCTGAATACACAGTGCTGAAAAATTATTTCAACATAATTTATTGGATTACATTACATAATCTGCAGTACAGTACATTATTCAGGACATGACAGTATAGAGTAATAGCTCTTTTTCATTTTAGGAGATACAGCGCATCATTGCTGGAAGAGAGCCACCAAGATCAGGAAAAGGTAATAAGTGGCTTATAATAAGTATTTGAAATCCTACTAAATTTGTTTCTTTTGAGTTAATGTAACTTCTTTTATCTCTAGCTATAATGGAAGCACCATGGTTTGATCTGTCCAAGAGAAACAAACCTGAGAAGCAGCCCTTTGCACATCTCATTATTGATGATAAAAATATTCCAGCTGGTAAGTTCACTTTTAATCCAATATTTCTGTAAGAATATTTTGGCTGCATTACACAGTTTTGAACAATCCATAAAGCCCTGGGACAAAGACTTTCAAAAGTGGCTGATGATCAGGACTAGCAGGAGAATGAAATACAAACGAAGGGATGGATTTTAAATGGGAAGGCTGTTATTTTGTTAACTTGAATGGAGGTCTTATCCCCCACACCCAAATACCAGACATTGGAGTGTAGTGTGATGCTAAATAGCCTCTGTGCCAATATCCAGGTTTGAATCTAATCCTTAGAACACAGCACTCCTCTGGATTTTCTTGCTTTTCTCCTCAAGGGGGAATGAGGGTACACATGAAGGGCACCTCAGTCTGTGAAGGCTTAAGGTCTCCCCTTCCTCCTCCAGGCTAATTGGGGCCATCATTCTGGCTATTGTTTACTCCTGGGAACTGGCCTCTTTGAGCCTCTCACTTGCACTAGACCTCAGATATAGTGGTGCCAGCAGATAGCTTGCCCACACCACACTGCCGGGTACCTGCCTCCCATCAATCCAGTCTGTAAGTTCTCCCAACCACATCAGTCTCTGTGTCTGATAAACATGCCCATTTTCCCTGTAATGCTCAGGAATGCCACCCCTGAATCTTCTGCGTGTGATCTCTGTGCCATCAGTGTTCACAAAGACTCTGGTGACCTTTTGGTTCACACTCTTCCAGGCCCAATCCACAGAAGCAGGGTTGATTGCTCCAGTCATACCCACCTTGTGAGCATTTCAGTACAACCATGGTTGGCGACCAGCAACAGCTGGGTACTCTGGCTGATGTTCCTGTTAGCTCCCGAGTCTCAAATCCACCCCCATCTAAAACCCAAGATCATTTTCCCTTCAGTGAATATTCAAGACACAGATAATTTGCCCATCAGGGAGCACAAAAGAGGCATGCGCTTGGCCTACAACATGCTGCTGCTCCTCCTAAATCATCAGAAACGGACAACTCTGCCCTGAAAACCCATCTGTGACTTGCCTGCTGTTTTCCTTCCCTCTTGTGGGCTCAATGCACTATCAGGTGTCTGCAAATCCAGACATCTGCCCTTGTTCCCATTGTAGGGAAGGCATAGGCTAGAACATTTCAATCACAAGAGTCCAGCCACCTGGATCCTTCAGATAATCAAATGCCTCGAATGTTGCTGCACAGGTCATAAAGGAATGCATGCCAAAGTTTGCTGGACTGCACCTTATACACAGACTAAAACCTTTCTCAATATTGCAGCACATGGATATCTGGTAAGGTAGCTGCCATTGCCATGTGCAATACAAAATCTGGCTCTTGTGCAGGGCCACAAATGTTTCTATGGCTTTCATTGGACATACTTGTTCATCTGGGCATTCTCTTAGCTGTTATGGCTCTCCACTTCTGCTTGTTCAGCCTTCGACCCTTTTCACCTGCCCCTCTGCCAGTCCAGTTCATGTCTGGAACTGTCCCTTGGTTTCCCAGGCATGACCTGGCCAACACTAAACACTACGAACGCTTAGAGCAATGCCTCTTCCCCGCCATGAACATACTCTGGAGGCAAAGCCTCAACTGACCTAAAAGATCTGTATAGTTATCTGTTGCCTGGCATCTTCTATTCATCCTTCACATTTGGACCAGCCTTCCCAGAGCTTCTTGACCAAGAATCCTCTAACAGATCAGCAAATCTCACCAGCCTGCAATGAAATGACAGGCCAGGGAGATTACCTGGTGTGGTGGATGCTGCCAGTCCGTTGTGTACGAACAACTCTGTATATCTAGTCACCTGAAATGGATGCTGAATGTCAGTGAGGCAATGGAACTTTCTGTCAGTCCTAGCAATGTTAGGAGCCATGGCTCTAGAAAAAATAAATCACTGACAATGGGTCTTTGGTGAATGCTGCTAACTCCGTGAATCCATACTATTGTCAATACTGGGAACATGTTCTTTGAATATCAGAATATTTTTCAACACAACACAGATGTCTTTAGCTGCATTGCCCATGGCAACCTTGCAGACTCTGTTAATTCGGTGGACCACTGCCAGGTTGTCCCACCAAAAATGAACCTATTGGTTACTAAATTCTTCACCTCAGTGGTGACTGCTACCAATACTGGAAGAAAGTCCAAAAACAGATCTCTCAGTATACTTTTCTAACCTATCCTCAGGCCATCTCTGGGCACACCAAGTCCTTCAGTCATATGTTCTAAGTCCAACTACATCTGACACATCTCATTGTATTTGTAAATGGGAACCTAGCATCCAATGGGATCACCAGAATGATACCCCCTAAAACTATTCCAAAAATTCCTTCCATGCTATCAACTATTCCCTCATGATTTTTTAAAATCACCCTTACAAAGCATTGAGGTTCCTTAACTGTTAAGGTGGCAGCTTCCAGGTATGCACAAAAGCCGTACCCAGAATCTGCAAGTTTACACACAATTTAAACAACCTATATTTACCTATAACCACTTTGGAATAACTTATGACCTTGATCACCTCTATTAACACCGCTAAATTATTCACCTTCCATTGTATCCTGTTTGATTCCCAAGTATATCAGCCTCCATGGGAGGAATGGGGGAGCAAGGATTTTGGGTGCCTTAGTTTGTGGGTCCACAATATGGGAACTTAAAAGGGCCTAATTTTCACAGTGCTGAATACTCACCCTCTTAAATTGGATCCTTTAAAGGTATCTCAAGTTGAGGACCCCAGAATTCGAGCCCTCTTGAAACTCTTGGCCTGAGAGCTCCACTAATTGGACCACCTAGAAATATAAGGATCTTGTTCCTGTACAGTTATTACAGAGCTAGAATGATGTATGAATCACCAAGTCTATGTGACTAAGCCGTACCCTAGAGTCTTGTATTCATTCAAGCTTTGAGTTAAGCCTATAAGCAGATAATTTTGTATGTAAAGGCTTTTCTGTTACATAAGGATTTGGAGTATTTTCCCACTTGCTTATCTTATGTACCTCAAGTACAATATACATTGTTATGCTATAGCAAAAATGCACAGTTACGTTGATTTTTTTTTTTAGTTTTCCTTTATCTCAAGCTAAAACCATGTTTACTTTTTATTGCCTGTGTTTCTATGAAATTTGCTGTGCCCAATAAATTAAATGTGGAAGAAATATGAAGCTGTCATGCAGGGGAGAAAGGGAACCTACTACTGAACTTTCCAGACTTAGTTTTCAGATACTGTAGTCTATTTATTACAAACATTCACATGGTTCCCAACACCATAATCTGGCTGAGTTTACATGGTAGACACTTTCTATACAAGGAGCTAATATCCCATGTTGCACACAATGTTAAAATGCATAGATGAAGAAGACTAGTAAGCCAAATAAGAAAATTGATAAGTCGGGACAAAAGGTTCATCTTTCACCAGTTTATGAATAGGCCCAACCTTAGGTTTATGTGTATTTCCAATAGTAGTGAATTCCATTGGCAAAGAGGAAATCTCTCCCCCTCTTCTATGTGATTTGACACACATTACCAGCTGATTAAATTAGGCAGGTCTACACATAGTCCACGTAAAAACATGTTTGTATATCTTTCCCTCCCTCCATCCTCCACCCATTTTTGTTTCATCCACCCTTTGCATCGTATTGACCAAGATAAGCTTTTCTGGGCAGGGACGGTCTTTTTTACCTACATGTACGAGGCACTGTGCAAACAAAGGAGCCTTACTGTAGCCTCCTGGTGCTACTGCAGTACCACTAATAGGGCCCTGGTTTGGAGAATGGTTCCTGTGAACCTCAGCTTTGGAACAGTTGCCTGTGTTCATATGGGACACTAGTGGGTCAGAGGGAGAGGTCATTGGAGACGGCTGGTTGGCAGGACAGTAGGGCTTTGTAGGTGGTAACCATTTCTTATTTATTCAGTGCTGTAAGTATGCGTGGCTTTTTAAAATAAAAAAAATCCCTCCACCAAGGAGCTCACTGTCTGTTAATTGTTAACTAGACCTTGAATTGTATACAGAAGTTTACTGCCAGCCCATGCAGTGTGTTACACAGATGTATTATCTACGCCTCCACCTATCTGGATTAGCAGGAGAAATAGATAAGCATAAAGTTAAGCAAGTGCAGGTAGAGCAGCAAACAGAGGTGGTTGGGAGTCATTGACAATGTCAAAATCAGCTGAGAGATTAAGAACAGACAGGAGGACCATAGACTTGGCCAGGAAGAGGCCATTGGTGACTTTATAGTGGCTTTAATGGAGTGGAGAGATGGCAAGCAGACTTTAGGGGAGTTGGAGGAAAACGTTGAGACCGTGTATGTGGGAAAGCACATTCTAGGATGCAGTGGCCAAACTTACTGTCAAAAGTTCAAGAGCTGGGGTGCGCCTGCCAGGGCTCGGGGTTTCAGTCTTTCAGGGAGTGGGGGTGGCCACTGTTCGGAGACAAAGGATTGAGGGAGATAGGTAGTAGCTACCGGTCCAAAAAAAAAGCTGAAGAAGAGGTCCTAGATTAGAGAAAGGTTGACCATACGGGTGAGGAAGAAGATAACTCTGCTTCTGTACCCAATGACTGGAAGTTAGCTAATGTAACGCCAATATTTAAAAAGGGCTCTAGAGGTGATCCCGGCAATTACAGACCAGTAAGTCTAACGTCTGTACTGGGCAAATTAGTCGAAACAATAGTTAAGAATAAAATTGTCAGACATGTAGAAAAACATAAACTGTTGAGCAATAGTCAACGTGGTTTCTGTAAAGGGAAATCGTGTCTTACTAATCTATTAGAGTTCTTTGAAGGGGTCAACAAACATGTGGACAAGGGGGATCCAGTGGACATAGTGTACTTAGATTTCCAGAAAGCCTTTGACAAGGTCCCTCACCAAAGGCTCTTATGTAAATTAATCTGCCATGGGATAAAAGGGAAGGTCCTTTCATGGACTGAGAACTGGTTAAAAGACAGGGAACAAAGGGTAGGAATTAATGATAAATTCTCAGAATGGAGAGGGGTAACTAGTGGTGTTCCCCAAGGGGTCAGTCCTCAGACCGATTCTATTCAACTTATTCATAAATGATCTGGAGAAAGGGGTAAACAGTGTGGTGGCAAAGTTTGCAGATGATTCTAAACTGCTAAAGATAGTTAAGTCCAAAGCAGACTGTGAAGAACTTCAAAAAGATCTCACAAAACTAAGTGATTGGGCAACAAAAGGCAAATGAAATTTAATGTGGATAAATGTAAAGTAATGCACATTGGAAAAAATAACCCCAACTATACATACAATATGATGGGGGCTAATTTAGCTACAAGAAGTCAGGAAAAAGATCTTGGAGTCATCGTGGATAGTTCTCTGAAAATGTCCACGCAGTGTGCAGAGGTGGTCAAAAAAGCAAACAGGATGTTAGGAATCATTAAAAAGGGGATAGAGAATAAGACTGAGAATATATTATTGCCCTTATATAAATCGATGGTCCGCCCTCATCTCGAATACGGCATACAGATGTGATCGTCTCATATCAAAAAAGATATACTGGCACTAGAAAAGGTTCAGAAAAGGGCAACTAAAATGATTAAGGGTTTGGAACGGGTCCCAGATGAGAGATTAAAGAGGCTAGGACTCTTCAGCTTGGAAAAGAGGAGACTAAGGGGGGATATGATAGAAGTATATAAAATCATGAGTGATGTGGAGAAAGTGGATAAGGAAAAGTTATTTACTTATTCCCATAATACAAGAACTAGGGGTCATCAAATGAAATTAATAGGCAGCAGGTTTAAAACAAATAAAAGGAAGTTCTTCTTCACGCAGCGCACAGTCAACCTGTGGAACTCCTTACCTGAGGAGGTTGTGAAGGCTAGGACTATAACAGAGTTTAAAAGAGAACTGGATAAATTCATGGTGGTTAAGTCCATTAATGGCTATTAGCCAGGACGGGTAAGGAATGGTGTCCCTAGCCTCTGTCTGTCAGAGGGTGGAGATGGATGGCAGGAGAGAGATCACTTGATCATTGCTTGTTAGGTTCAGAGAAAGCCGGTTGTTCAGAGAACATCTGTTTTGGCTTTCAAGATATTTTGAGAAACTCAGCTGAGGAGAGACGGAAATTATTAGTCATGGGGGCTGCAGTGCAGGCGTCTCAAGAAGTAGATTTATTTAGCAAGGTAAAAGGCAGAGGTGAAGGAGGGAGAAACTTTGTACCTGAAAGTACAAAGTCATTGTGGACTTTCTTCAGAGGTGCTTTGCAGCATGAGAACAGGAAAGGGGGAGGGGAGAGCATGGAAATGAGAGAAGACAAGGCTACCGTTTGGTGGGACAGCCACTGTGGGAGTGGGTACGGAAGTGTGTTGAGTTGGAGGTGGAATCAACAGATGAGGGAGAGAGATGGAGTTGAGTACTGTAGAAAAGCTGAGTTAGTCAGTCTTGAAATGAGTACACGCTTGGGTTAGTGGTGAGTAATATTGAAACAAATTATGTGGTGATGGAGAGCAGTACTTGGTAAAGTCCTGATTAGTTATCAAGACAGTGGTTACCCTGATTATTCTTAAATGCTTTGGTTAGTATTAATATAAATAGTTAAGGAGAGCAAGTGTTTTTCCTTGGCTAGTGCAAAATCCACTCTGAAGTATGTTAAATAAACATGTTTTTTAGTTGGGACTGTTTTTAGCAATTGATTCCATATAGGATTTGTCACGATCGGATTATTGGTGAAACAAACCTCATCCTGATTAATTCTAATAGCTGATGCTCCAGAGTAAGGGTGGGTAGGAACAGCTAGTTAGTTGTATTCACAAGGGGAGACTAAACTTCTTCCTGTCCTTTGTGGCAATTGGCTGATATTCTAAAGCCTGAGACTTTTATCTTAGCCTTTTGGCAATAGTGGCTCTCTCCCCTTCACTTTTACCCTTTACCTTAGTTTAATAGCTACCTTTGTTACTGACACTAAAAATCCAGCCATGATATCTCTTTTAACTTTGTAGAAAATGTTTGTGAACAAAAGTAACGTTCTGCTAACCTTTTTCCCTAGGCACACGCAAAGTGAACCTTACATCCTGGCATCATGACAAAGGGCAGGCAAACTTATCGAATATGACCTTTCGTGATGGAAAACTAATAGTCAATCAAGATGGGTTTTACTACTTGTATGCCAACATTTGTTTTAGACACCATGAAACTTCAGGAGACCTAACTAGAAGAGGGCTTCAGCTGATGGTGTACATGAGTAAAACAAACCTTAAAATAAGACGCTCTGATGTCCTAATGAAGGGAGGAAGCACCAAATATTGGTCAGGAAATTCAGAATTTCATTTTTATTCTGTAAACATAGGAGGATTTTTTAAACTAAAGTCTGGAGAAGTAATAAGTATCCAGGTATCAAACCCATCATTACTGGATTCATCTCAAGAAGCAACTTATTTTGGGGCATTTAAAGTAAGGGATCTAGACTGAGTCTTGATATTGCTTGTAAATTAATATGTATTTTTTAGGACTTTTTTTAAGTTTGATGGTTATATAGCTGGGCCAGAGACTACTGGGAGACATGATTGAAAAAAATCTTTAGGGCCCAGTTGCAGTAACTGTAGGCAGAATATAACTCTTCAGGTTGAATTTTGCCCTAGGATTGCTTCAGAGGGATCCCCAGAAAAACATATTAGGGTAAAATTACACAATGGGCCTGATTCTGATCTTACACCAGTTTCATACCTGTGTAACTCTACTGGCTCCACTGATTTTACACTGATGTAACTGAAATCCAAATCTGGCCTGATGTTCTTGCGTCTTTGAACTGCTAGTTCTAAATTCCACCCTGACTGACATGTTGTTACCCTATTGACTTCAGTGTAAATATGGGATGGAGCAGAATGTGGCCATAGAATTCATTAAGGGCTCAGTCTTACAAGGTGCTGAGTGCTCTGTCCCTGATCTAGCAAAATAATTGAGTTTGTTGTAAACTTAAGTATGTAACTAGTCCCATTTAAGCGAGTGGGGCTATGCAGATACTTAAAGTGAAGCATGTGCTTGCTTGCTTTTTGTTGAATTGGGGCTAGAGTGGTCAATCCTTACAGGAATGACCCCTATTCACACCATATGTGTTGTAGCTAATCAGGTACTACATTTGGATTATTTAGAAAGGGCTCTTTTAGGGGATCTGACTTTACAGTTTACTTGCAGTTATAGATGACTAATTGCAAGTCTGATTAACTATCATTGCACATCCAATTACATATGAAGAAATCTGAAGTGTTAAATTCCTTTGAACTGTTACATTGTGCCAGAACCTGCAAATACTTTTTTAAGAGGCAAAATATGTATTTTTATAGTCTGTAATATCTAAAGTTATATTTCAGATGTAATGTTTTGTGCAAAAAAATTGTAAATTATATTTGTCCTATAGTGTTTGATACAAAATATTTAAAATCTCTTGCTGTTGTATATTTAATGTTTTTAAACTGTTTTTAATGTATGTTTAACTGGTGCACTTTGTTAATCCCAATGGGAAAATTGCAGCTAAAAGATTGTTTGCAATTAGCAAATGTAATATATTCTTTCTTTTTAACTTAATAGATTTCTGTTAAACTTTTCAGTATTATAGAAAATCAAACTGTCATGAATAATTAGACCAGAAGGTTGGTCACCAGATCTCTTCCAAACCGGGAAGGTAAAAAGAGTACATAATGGGACATAGAAATCTGTCAAGAGTATTTATGTAATTATTGAACATGCATTTTTTCCTACAGCAAATTGTAAATCCTGTAGTAGAATTTTTGTATAATACCAAACATGTTTTTACACCTCCTCAGAGGTTTATTTACTGAAGCAACCAAGCTGAATTCAGTAGCAATTATTTTATATTGTACAATACACATTTCTTTTGAATGTTAATATTTTGTTACAAAATACATTTCTAAAGAAAAGAAACTGTGTGGTTTATTTTTTCCCCCTCTTTCATTTTTGTGCTTCTGTGAGTGATTGAAGTCTGAACCTGGCAAGTGGCAGTGGCTGGGGGTAGAGGAACCCAAGCCCTCCCTGCTCCACTGGTTTCCAACTCAGGGCCCTGAGAGTAATAGTTCAAGAGTGCCTCCGGGGGGGGGGGGGCGGACACTCCTCTGCCTATCCCTGGGTCACTTCCTATTGTGGCTTCAGTTCCTCCATTAGTGCCACTGGCCTGCATCTGAATTTCCCCAGCATCCCCTCAGAGGAAAACCCTCTGGAGAGCAATCAGTCAGTTGTGGTCCATCATTCCTGTCCCTCATGGGCAAAAGGGCCTGTGGCAGCTTGGTGGTGGGGCCTGGTCCTGGCCACATTTAGCCCCAGCGGTGTGTCTGCTGGAGCTTTTAGCACATGACTGCTCTCCTGCTCTGTCTGCCTAGAGACTGAGCTGAGCTGCTCCCTTTTGAGCTCAGCCTCCACTGTGAGCATGCTCAACAGGTACAGCTAGGCAAGTCCTTCAGGCTCAGAGTTGCTCATTAACCCTTAGTTCACCATCACACCCCCTCCCTCTCAGGCTAGGACCCAGCAGTGGGTCTTCCTCCTCTATTCTGAAGGGGGGAAATGGACATTTGCATGTGGTGGTGGCAGTAAGACTGCAGAGCGAGGTACTGTCTCATTATCTGGGCATTGGTGTCCTCAGTTGGCTAAACTCTATGAAGAAGGGTGTGGTCCAAAATGAGTAAGGAGGAGTTCCCTAGTTGGTAATAGCACAGGGCAGGGGTAGTTAATAAGTGGGCTGTGGGCCAAATCTGGATTGCCAGATGCTTTTCAATGGCCTGCACAGGCTGAATCTGAGCCATGCTCCCCAGCACAAGGCTGCTGCAGCTGGGCCAAGCTGTGGGGCACTATTGTGTCCACGGGTGGCTGCTTGCGTAGCCACAGCAGCCAGGCTGTGGAGGGGACTCTCTCTTTCTCTCTCTACCTACCTTGCAGACAGCCTAACGTCTGCTACACCCTTCCCCTCCAATCAGGGACTGATGAGATATAACATGCTCACTCTGCAGCCCAATCAGAGGGCAGTGCTGTAGGGGCCCTAATTCAAATTCTTCTGTGTTCTGTGGAGATTGCAGTGCCAGCTGCACCATGGAGCTGTGACTGGGCAATCCGGCTGGTAACTGTTCGACTGCGTCCTCCAGCATCCATTTGGGCTGGGGCACTTAGCCTGGTGCAGCCCCCCCCCCCCCCGACTTTCCCTGGCCTTGTGCCCTCTGCCCTTCAGTTGTTCCTGGAGCTCCCTCCCCACCCCAGCCTCATGTCCTCATCCTTAGGAGCCCTCCTTGGAGCCCTCTCCAGCCCCCCTGGTCCCAACTGACCTCTTTCATTCCCCAGTCTGCCTCGTTCACCTGCTTCTGCCACATCCCAGCCTCCCTGCACCTCCAAAGGGCTGCTATTTGGAGTGTCCTTCCTGCCCCTTTGCTGTCCCAGCTGCCAAACGGGCATTGCATTGCTAGCTGGATCGTAGTCCAATAGCTTCACTCCTGGCTCTGAGCTCAAACATACTCGCACTCACCCTGCTTGGCTGCCCAGATCCCAGCCCATATCAATTTCTCCTGCCCCATCTCTGATACTTGGCTCAATTGGGGGCATGGGGGAACATTTTTTTGCAGGGGGAGAGGAGGGAAGTGAATCATTTTATTTGACAAAACCAAAGTTGATATTCTTTATAAACTCAAAACAAATTCAAAACTTAAAATAGTTTTTCTGAAAGTATTTTAATGCTATTATTTGCATATATTTGACATTTTAAGTACTTTCTCAAAGTCTTAGATTTATTACATTTTTCTTGGAGGTCATTTTTAAGTAATGTAATGGTTTGATTTTATTTTTCATTTAATTCACTCAAAATATAGGCAATTGGCTGGGTACAATGTTGTGTAACGTGTGTTCACACTAAGTGCCCCTGTTCAATAATGTTTCTCTGGAAACATTGGCCCTTGATTATATCTTGACCAAGAAATTTGGATCTTGACAAAAAATAAACTACTCCTAGCTAGGGTCTCTATGGCCCATTTCACAGCCAGGGCCGCCTCCTTGATCATTGAATAGTTCACCTCCTGTGGGAACAGGTTTCTACTCAGATATACCATCAGATGTTCTTAGTCTTCTACCTCTTGGGATAACACATCCCCAAGTTCCACTTTGGCTGTGTCCATTTGAAGAATGAAAGGTGTTGAAAAGTTGGGGTGGAAAAGGACTGGTGCCTGGGTTAGCTAGTTCTTCAATGTTCTTGAAGGCCTTGTTGCATGCGTTGGTCCATTGCACCTTCCTGGAACAAGTACCTCTCACCAGGTCAGGAGGTGGGGGGAGGATGGTGACTATTGTGGCAAAGTCAGGTACAAACTGCCCATAAGAGCTGTCCAGGCTTAGGAAACACCACACCTACTTCTTGGTTGATGGGATCGGGCAATCAGTGAGTGCCTGGACCTTATCCACCCCTGGGAGTGTAGCTGGCCTTGCCCCAGGGTGTATCCAAGGTATGGCGGTTGGCAGGATTTGTAGTAAGCCCCACCTTCTCTAGGGCTTGGGTGACTGCAGTGACATGCTGTAAGTGGTCATCAATATAGATGGCTGTATTGGTCATGGGGCCGCAGCATCTGGTTCATCAGTCAGTGAAAGGTGACAGCTGCCCCATATAGGCACAAGGGCATTGTTACAAATTGATAGGGGCTGAATGGAGTAGGGAAGTCTGTCTTCCCAGAATGCCCTCATTGGGGGATTTATCGGTATCCTTTGATTAAATCCAGTATGGAGATGTAATCAGTGTTGCCCAGTCTCACTAATAGCAGGTAAAACGTTGAACCTTGACATCATGTTGGCCTTTCTAAAGTCTATGCAGAACCTCCTCGAGCAGTTGGTTTTTGGCACCAGCACGATAGCCTACTCACTGTGGGACTCTGATGATAACCAAGGTCAACATAGCTTGGAGCTCTTCACAAACTGTCTCCCACATCTGTTTCAGCGGGGGTTGGTGATTCTGGCTTACCCTCTGTCCAGGTGTCACTGTGATGGGGTGGTGAGTGAGGTACATCCTCCCTGGGAGGGCTGAGGACACAGTGGGGAAGGCCTGAGTCAGCTGCAGTATTTGGGGTTGCTATGTTGGGCTGAGCTCCAATCCCATTGACGTGGGGGTTGGGCCCAGGAACGTTATGGGTTCTAGTTCGGGGGAAGGTACATGGCTATTGGAAGGCTCTTCCAGGCCTTTGGGAGTTTGACATGATAAATTTGCATCTCCTTCTCTTTCCTGAGGTGTCAGATTTCATAGTCAACTGGCCCAACGCTCCTTACCACTTCAAATGTCCGTTGCCACCAGGCCAATAATTTTGACTCTGGCGTTGAGAGTAACACCACCACCAATGACCCAGTTCAAACATTCACAGCTGTGCCCCCTTGTTGTAGGTACATTCCTGGACTTGCTGGGCTTTCAAAAGGTTTTCCTTAGCGTAGTTCTCTAGCATCTTCAGCCGTTCCTGTAGTTGGAGCATGTAGTGAATGAAGCCCATGATCCTGTTCCTCCCAGGCTTCCGAGATGAGGTCCAAAATCCCCCAGGGATGTCTCCTATATAAAAGTGCAAAGGGCCAGGACCCTGTGGAGGCCTGAGGGACGCTTCTGTATGGTGAATAGCAATGATGATAGCAGTTGCTCCCATTTCTGTGGGTCTGTGTTGACAAATTTCCTCAACATGGCCTTCAGGGTCCCATTGAACTAGTCCATCTGTCTGCGGATGGCAGGGGGAGGTCTTGAGTACTTTGATCCTCAGCAATTTGCACAATTCCTGAATAAGTTTGGATGAGATGTTGGATTTTCTGGTCTGTAAATATTTCCCTTAGTATTCTGACCCTCGCAAAGACCTTCATGAGTTCGTTTGCTATGATGGGTGCATTTGTCATGGATAGTGGGAAGGCTGTGCGGGTACCGTGTAGCAGAGTCCACTATCACTAATATGTGATGGTACCCTGATATGCTCTTCTTGAGGGGCACTAGATTAATTCTTATCTGTGCAAAGGGTATGCCTACTAGTGGGAGTAGAACCAGTCAGGCCTTTGGCATCCCTTTGGGCCCTGCTAGCTGGCATTCTGGGCACAAGGTACAGAAATTGTGAACTTCTGAGTGGATCTCCATCCAGAAGTACCAAAGGGCCACTCTCTCTACTGTCTTTTCTCTCCCCAAATGCCCAGCAGATGACAGAGTGGGTTAGGTACAGAAAACTCTGATGGAACTTTTATTTCTTGGGATTGGGGTCTACTGTGTCACTCAGTAGAATTGCTCGTTCTGGAACTAGAAGTGAGGCCATTGCTTTAACCGTTGGGTTTCACCCTCTTCCCCATCGGCAACAGCTATTTGCTCCCACGCCCAGCTCAAAGTCTGGTCCTCTTGTTGTTACCATATGAAGTCCTCATCTTCAGATTGTTTACTTCTTCAGATGTCCTAGGGCTAGCAGATTGCCAGGTTAGTGTTTCTGGATGTCTGGATGAGCCCTTTCCAGGGTCTTCCATCTTGTCTTGGCCCACAAGCCCACTCATTTTTGGGCTTGGGTTAGTTTCCATTGGGGGTGGGGGGACTCTGCTCCACTGCTTCAGGAGTTCCCCAAACCATCTTCAGTCCTGCCCTAAAATTACTGGGTAGGCCAGGGTGGCTGCTAAGCAGACCAGAAAGTTTTCAATATGGCCTCCTACTCTGTTGCACTTTTGTCATGGGGGGGTTGTACTTCCCCATGGATACACTGGATGTAGATGGGGCATCCAGCAAGTTAGTGGACTCTACAGAGCTTACCTGTACAATGGTTTGACTACACCTGGAGTCCACCAGGCCCGTCACTTCAGTGCTATTAACCTGTCCTGGCAGAAGCATCTTGGCCAGGCCTCA